ATTAAATTTAAATCTAAAAATTAAATTTATTAATAAATAAATATTACTTTACTGACAAACTTACCATAGTTTAGGATTTATATAGAATGAAATTTTGTATTCAGACCTTCTCTTACCATTTTGTTGCTATATCTCATGTTACTTCTTTTTCATTGGGCAGCTGCCCCTTGTCTTATACTGGCTCTGTCATTGATTGACAGATTGATTGGAAAATTTTGGAAAGACTTTTCAAAAGTTATACGCATGATACACATGATAGGAAGAGACATAACCCCCGACCTCTTAATAAGAAGACTTAAGCCGACAACATTAATTGACTAGAAAAGTTTTTTGTCATGTGTATCATGTGTGTGCATGATACACATGACAGGAAGAGACATAACCCCCTACCCTTTAATAAGAAGACTTAAGCCAACAACATTAATTGACTAGAAAAGTTTCCTGTCACGTGTATCATGTGTTTGCATGATACACATGACAGGAAGAGACATAACCCCCTACCCTTCAATAAGAAGACTTAAGCCGACAACATTAATTGACTAGAGAAGTTTAGAAAGAAGAGAGATTTGGGAATACGTAACAACTACTTTTTTGAGTTGATTAACTTTATTTAAATTTAAATCTTTAAATGAGTAAGGAATTCATAAATAACACTAATAGTTTTAGATGGATTTTTTTTTATGGTTACAAATTATATAAATTAATAGACATTTCAATAAATTATTTATTCATGTAATCAATTTTTTATATTAAATTTAATTTAAAAAATTAATTTTATTAATAAATAAATATCATTTTGTAGATTAACTTTTTCATAGCTTAGCATATATATAGGATTAAGTTTGTAATTCTGTATTCAGTATTTAGACCTTCTCTTGTCATTTTGTTGCTACAATTCATGTTACTTCATTTTAGTCGGGTGGCTGGCCCCCCGTCCTAGACCGGCTCTGTCACTGATTGACGGATTGATTGGAAAAATTTGCAGACTTTTCAGATGAATGCATATACATGATAAGAAGAGACATAAACCCCCTACCTTCTAATAAGAAGACTTAGCCGATAACATTAATTCACTATAAAAGTTTGCAAAGGAGCTTTAAGAACACGCAACTACCACATTTTTGAGTTGATTTCCTCCATTCAAACTTAAATCCTTGAATCGAATAGGAAACTCGTAAATTGTTGGATTTTGGGGTTAGAAAACAAATTATTGACTCCAAGACATACTATAAATATCATTTTTCTTTAGCCTATTTTTGCTTCCACCATTTTAGTATGCAAGTTTTATTAAGAATTGCTTATTTAAAACCAATAAATATTCTAAATACGGTAACAATGACTCAAGATCAAATTTACAAAAACTATTCAAGTCAATGTGTGGTGTATGCATAATGCTTAATAAAAGTATGCTGTCTTACAAAATGACTTCAAGCTACAAAAGTTGACGTGACTTGAAAGATCAAAGCAATAAGTCTAATTAGCATTGAAAGGAGACTGGTCGCTGTTGACGTGACTTGAAAGATCAAAGCAATAAGTTAATTGACAATGAAAGGAGATTGTTCACCCGAAAGCATTCAATCCGGCTAAAATGGTTGAATAAATTTGCAAAGACTATCCCCAAGTTAAGATAAAGAAATTCATAAGAATTGCTTATTTAAAACCAATAGAAATTTTAAACGTGATAACAATGGCTCAAGACCAAATTTGCAAAGCTTATTCAAGTCAATGTGTGGTGTATGCATAATGCTTAATAAAAATATTCTGTCCTACAAAATGACTTAAGCTAAAAAGGTTGACATGACTTGAAAGATCAAAACAATAAGTCTAATTGGCAATGAAGAAAGACTGATAACTCTAACGCACTCAACCCGACTACAATGGCTGAATAAATATGCAAAGACCAGCCCCAAGTCAAGATAAAGAAATCCATAAGAATTACTTATTTAAAACCAATAGATATTCTAAACATGGTAACAATGGCTCAAAACTAAATTTGCAAAGACTACTCAATTTAGGATTAATAAATTCATAAGAACCACTTCATTGTGAGCTTATTCATTTCATTCAAAATTAAATCCTTAAACCTAGTAGAGAACATGTATAAAGCACTTATGCTTCAAACTACAAACATAGGTACTTTTTACATAGTTACAACTTACACAAACCCAAAGACAATTCAATTAATTCATTTATTCATGTCTCATTTCATACATTAAATTCAAATTCTAACAGCATTCCTAGGCAAAACTGTCCTTGCTCAGTACAATATAGGAAGCAGCAAGTGGAGCATAATGTCAGAAATTTCTTGACAAAACGTTCACACATTACTGTTAGTCATTTAGTATGGTTGTGATTTTGAGTTTTTTGTTTTGGCTTTTAAAAGTTTAAAAACCTTAAAATATAATTAAGTAGTTCAATAAATTAATTAAGTTTGGAGTTTTAGGTATTTGTTATAAAATTTCATACCCAATAAATTGGTAATTTTAATTTTTAATTTTAGTTTTAATTGTTAATTTTGATGGTTTGAATAAATCAAAACTAAAAACTCAAAATCACAACCATATTAAACAGAGCCTTAAATAAAGTCATTCTTAGTTTTCAACTTTCTATTCCATCAATTTCACTTTTATGCTCCTGAAACTTCTAATGAGACCTGAACTACGGTCATTTCTTTGCTCCCACTTATTTTTCTTGAACAAAGGAAAGTGTGGGGATGGAAAAACACAAAAATAAAAAACAAGATAGGTAGAGCACTCCTAGCATCCCCCTAAGACTGTTTAATGTTTTTCCTTCGTGGTTGTTTAACATTTTTCTTTGAGACAAAGGAGTTTAAGGATCTGTTCAGGTCCATTGTCTACTCGGTTTCTATTTTTCTAGTAAACTCTACACTTAATTTCAACTATATTATTAGGTTTACCTCATGAAATACCTTCAACTTTAGAAGTGAAATGGGTCATTTAAGCCATCATCTTCTCAATGTTGTTGGCCTATATGATGGGAGCTCAAGAGGGGAGTGAATTGGATATTCAAAAAACTAATGCAATTTTTCAAATCAGATCAATGAGCAAAGAACAAACAACTGACAAACAATTGAATCTTATTAAAATAAATTGCAGAAATTACAAGGGAAGAGAAATCTTAAACACAAGGCTTTATAGTGGCTTAGTCACAACTTATGTTTACTCCACTCCACAAGTTTGCTCTAGATTCAAAGCCTCTCC